TATTTTACAGATGAGGAAACTGAGGTACAGAGAGGCTGAGCAATTTATCCTAGGTCACATCCCTAGTATGTAGCAGAGTCACACATCTAGTACATGGCAGAGCAAGGATTTGAACCTTGGCCATCAGACACTGTTAATATCCTTCCACATAGTTCCTTAGCCTACTTTTGAGTTCATCTGCTGTCATAGTGTAAGTTTCCACAAAGCTTATAGCTTCCTACCACAAGAGCCTGGATATCTATACTTGTCAGCCTAAGACCCTTTTCTGGTTGTTTTTTTTTTATTTTTTATTGATTTATAATCATTTTACAATGTTGTGTCAAATTCCAGTGTTCAACGCAATTTTTCAGTCATTCATGGACATATACACACTCATTGTCACATTTTTTTTTCTGTGAGTTATCATAACATTTTGTGTATATTTCCCTGTGCTATTCAGTGTAATCTTGTTTATCTATTCTACAATTTTGAAATCCCAGTCTATCCCTTCCCACCCTCCACCCCCCTTTTTCTGGTTGTTGTTTGGGGACTTGCTCAACTTAGATCTTTAATGCTAGAAAAGAAACTCTACGTAGGGGATGGATATGGTGGATAAACCCTCTGGTCCCTCATCTCTTAGTGGGTATTATTCTGAGACACGTTCTACAAAGTTCCTCAGAAGTTCCTGAATGGGGTGGAGCTCCTATTACACTCAGGGGTAACCAGCTTTTATCTCTCTTTTTTCTTTATCTCTCCTCACTCTTTTAAATGTGTTTCCTGGGATCACCTTTCAAAAAAAAAAGTAAACCCCCACCCCTCAATTTTTATAAGATTTTCTTTTGAAGCAACCTGAACTAAGGCAGATAGTGCTCTTAACATACCACCCTACCTCTCCACAATCTTCACTCCCTTAGTCCATTTGGTCTCTGCTCAGAAATGCCTTCCCAGTCCACGTGAGATACTGTGATTTATAATAAGAAATATGTATTCGGTTTTCCACGCTATTCCAGACACAGAACTCCTAAAACCCTTGGACTTTCTTGTGATAAGAGAGATAAAGGTAACTTTTGTTGTGTTAAAGAGGTGATTTTTGGAAAGCCCAACAGTAACCTATGGGTGGGGACTAGCTGCCAGGGGAACCAACCATGTGATTAGAGGGTTGCCACTTTCAGTACCTATTCTCCAACCTTGGGGAGGAGAATGGAGCTGGAGGTTGAATCAATAGCCAGTGATCACTGATTTAATCAACTGTGCCTATGCAATGAAGCCTATGTAAAAACCCAAAAGGACAGGGTTTGGAGAGCTTCCAGGTTGATGAACATGTGGAGGTGTTGGGAGAGTGACACACCTGGGGAGGCCATGGAGGCTCCTTGAACTTTCCCCATGCCTTGCCCTATGCACCTCTTCCATCTGGCTGTTCCTGAATTGCATTCTTTCATAATAAACTGGTGGTTTCATAAGTAAAATGTTTCTCAGTTCTGTGAGCTGCTCTTGCAAATTAATCAAACTGCAGGAAGGAGTATGGGAACCTCTGATTTATAGCCAGTTGGTCAGAAGTATAGATGACAAACTGGGCTTGCAATTGGCATTTGAAGTCTGAAGTTGGGGGTTGGGACAGTCTTACAGGACTAAACAATTAACTTGTGGAATCTGATTCTACCTCTGGTTAGATAGTGTCAAAATTGAGAAAAGTTGTAGAACACCCAGATGGTGTTCCACACATACTGGAATTGGATTTGGAACCCTAACAAATCATGTTAATTAAAAATATTTATTTGTTAGGGTACAGGCTTAGCTGCTATCACAAAGAGACCCAATATTGAGATTTTCAAGAAAGACATGTATTTATCTTTCAAATAACATTCCAGAAATAAGCAGGGTATCCAAGACAGAGAGGCACCTCTTCTTCCAGAGATCTTTCAGGGATACAGGTCTCTTCTATTTGGGATTATTCCCTAGAGTCTACGTTTAAGTTGGTTCACATTTCAACCAAGGGAAGAAAGAGAAAGAAGGGTGTTCTCTATTAAGTATGTGTCTTGAAATCTACTCTCGTCATTTTCCTTCATGTTCTATTGGTTAAAAACGTTGTCAGATGGTAAACCCAAAAGCAAAGGAGGCTGAGAAATGTAGTTACTAACTAGGTAGCCAAGCTTCCTGCTATCACTCAGGAAAATGGATATTGAGGATAATTAAAAGTCTTCACTAAAAATAGCATTCTCTGTCTCGGTGAATATTTCATCTTGCTTTATTTTCCTTCATTATATATTACTATTTGATAACAGATATTTATTTACCTGTTTTTTATCTGTCTCTTCCAAGAGAATATAAATGTCTCGAGGTGCAGACTTTGTTAGTTTTGCTCACCACTGTAGATCCAGAACCTAGAACAATGCCCAGTACCAGTAACCACTGAATAAACGTTAAATGAAGAATGAATGATCTGCTATGTCCCCAAAATGTTCCCAAGTCTCCAATGACATACTAGGACACACATAACCTCAACAACGTGAATCGTGGGCTAGCTGAATAAATTCAGCCATTTTTGTATTTCAGAAGATGCTCTATGAGAGGCATTTTTATCCTCTATCTAATCTAATCTAATGAAGCTAAGGAGGATTTATTTTCAGATAATCCCTTTCACTCTCCCAAATGGATATTATAGTGGTATTTCTTCCAATATTTAGTTTCTGAATCAGTCTTTGTATATAAATGGGTTTATACAATTTATAACATTCTAATCTTTATTATATTTAAGCAAAAACAAATATTACTAAGTTCTACTCCTATAACTAGCTATGTTATAGCTATTGGCAATTGAGTGGACATATATGCAAAAGAGGAGAAGACATTGTACTTGTTTTCTGAAGCTGCTGTAATAAATGACCACAAACTTGGTAGTTTAAGAGCATAGAAATGTATCTTTCCACAGTTCTGGAGTCTGGAAGTCTGAAATCTTTAGGGCTGAACATCTTTTGGGAGCTCTAAGGGATAAATTGTTTCTTTTCTCTTCTAGCTTCTATTGGCTATCTTGGCATGGCTGGGCTTGGGGCCACATCACTCTAATCTCTGACTCCGTCTTCACATTGCATTCTTTGCTTTGTGTCAGTATTTTCTCCCCTTCCATCTGTCTAAAATATCCCTGTGCCTTTCCCTTAAAAGGAAACTTGTCAATGGATTTAGGGCCCACCAAGCTAATTCAGGATTATCCCCTCATTTCAAGATCCTTAATTTAATCACGTCTGACAAAGTCCTTTTTTCCAAATAAGGTAACATTCATAGTTTCCATGGATTTTATGTAAGTATCTTTTATTTTTTTTGAGGTGAGGGGGCATTTTTCAGACTACCACAGTCTTCTCTCTAGCCCCAATAGCTCATATCCATCCCACATGGACAGTTACCCCCATGTCAGCATCCCCCAAAATCTCATTAGCATCAACTCAAGTCTATAATCTCATCTAAATCTTTTCAGTTCCTCAACCCCAGATATCATCATCTAAATAATCTAAATCAGATATGAATGTGACTCTTGGTATGAACCATCGTAGAGCAAAATTTCTTTCTATCTCTGGACCTATAAAACCAAAAAGTAAACTGTCTGCTTCCAAGATACAATGGTGAAACAGGCATAGAAGGAAAATAAAGGCAAATTCTGCAGATGAGTAAAATATGTCTCTTGGCCAGATTATAGCCTTGGGCTACCTGGTTGCAGACCTCTGTTGGAGGAGGATGGCAGAGGTCCTCTAGGGAGAAATGTGTACATTTGGTGGTGAGGCAAGTGGAGATCTTAATGAGACATTTTGTTAGGTTAAGGGCATGTCTCAAGAGCATGTCTGATTGGGAGATTTTTGACACAAAAGGAGTTTCTTTGAATTGCAAAGGAAAAAGAATCTCAAAGGTTTTGAAATCCTGGATATAGTGGGGAAGGGGTCAGAAGGGCTAAAGATTTCCCAACAAGCGTTGGAAAGCTAGAAACAGAGCAACTATGGAACTACAGATAGATACAGAAAGAGTAATGCTTGCTATTAAATTTTAAGTTTTTTCTTTCTACTTCTTTGCTTATATTCCTTGAAACTTCAGCAAAAGTCTATTACATACAACAACCATATGTGATGTTTTGGCTAATGATGGAGAATGGTCAGGGTTAATGCTTGGGGTGGAGTGTGGAGAAAGTACAGTATTTAGAAGACAAGATGGTAAGAGGAGATTGATAATTTAATCAGTAACAGAAATGCATATTCAGAGACATGAGATGAATATCAAAAGTACATATCCATCCCTTACATATCCCTGGAATCCTTGGAAATTTAAAGGAGGTTACTGAACTTCCAGTAGTTACATGGGACAAGACTTAAGTTATTTAACTTAAACGTTTCATGAAAGACACACTAGAAAAAATACTATTTTGTTTTTCTCTTTTGTCTTTCTGCAATGAGCTTTTCTCAGACCAGCTTAAAAAAAGTCACATTAGGATTGATGCAGAAAGATTACAATGAGAAAGCAAGGGTTAATATTCAACATCTGGCATTTAAAATAGGATTCTGAAGCATCAAAAAAGGGAGGACTTTTTGTTTTGTTTTGTTTTGCTTTGCTTTGTTTAGAGAGAGGAAGTAATTTCCAAATTCCTTTAGTTCATATGTAACAACATCAAAGACCATGTCTGATAATCAGATCTTAGATCTTCTCCATTAACGCTGAAAAAGTACATATATGTGTTATTAAAGTTTAGCTGTGAGGCTGAAGTCCAAAAGAAAGAGAGTATGTCTTCACTGATGTAACAAAGAAGTTCAGAGATATTGTGAGAAGAAACAGAGAAGGACTCAATATTTATCTTTCTGGACCTTTCCATGTTCCCTTGTGGGGTGGGCTGGGAGGTGGGACTTCCAGCTGGAGAGCATGTCAGGGCTGAGTAGTTTCAGGAAGAACCTCATGTGTCTAATCCCATTGTAATGCCTGTGAAAGCCAAAGGAGGGCAGGATCCAAATGAGAAGAGACCATGAGACCCTGAAAGCACTCAGAGAGAGCAGATGGTGGGTTGCCCAGCTGTTACTCCCAGCACAGCAGCAAACAGCAGAAGAATGCCATTGACTTTGAGAATTAAAGATGGAGAGAAGCTGAAAAGAAAATGAGAATATCTAATCCCCAACATCACAAGCCTAAATTGGCCACCCCACTACTCCTCATTTTCCCAGGATGATTCAGGATGTCTGTTTTCTAGGCACATTTTAGTTTGGTGGTTACACTACCTAAGCCTTCCTGCCTCTATGCACCTACATATAGTCATGGAGAGGCGCAAGTAGGAGCAGTAGGCTAGACACTGAGAATTTCTACCAGAATCTGAAAACTATAAAAAAGGACTCTTTGAATTGTTGTATAGGATTAACATGAATAGAATGGGCAGAAATAATAAATAATTTTTGCATATTGTATCTATTATCTATTGAAATTTATAGAAAAATTGTAGCTATGCTGCAAAGAATAATTTCATTTTTCCTGAAGCATTTGAGAGTAAGTGGCCAACCTGATGGCCCCATCGCTCCTAATATTTTAGTATTTCCTGCAAACCAGGACATTTCTCAACATAACTACAAGATAAACAAAACCAGTAAATGTTTTTTGACACATTGCCTACATCTAATCAGATTACATTCAAGTATTGTCAATCGTTCTAATTGTTCTAACAGTTCTGTTAGACTCTAAGATCCTTGAGTCTGGGCTAATCCTCATGCCCCATTCAAATTTCCGAATTGTCCCAATAATGCCTTTATAACAAGCATAACCAGTTCAGTGTCTTTTGAACAGTTCCTTGGTCTTTGTCTTTCATGTCACTTTTGAATATTCGAGGCCGTTTTTTAAAACAGAATATCTCTCAGTTAGGGTTTGTCTGATAATTCTTGTAGTCGGATTTGATTATGCATTTTTGGTATAAGTATCACTGAAATAACACTGTGTTCTCATCGTATTCTTTGTTATTAGCTTGTATTTTCTAGGACTTTGTGTGAATGGAATTATACATTATATATTCTTTCTTTGCTTGGCTTCCTTCAGTCATCATAATAATTTTGAGATTTATCCGTTTTGTTGCATTTATCAGTAATTCATTACTGTTTAGAGGGGTACCAAATTATTCGAAGGAGTGGTACAAATGAAAGAATTTAAGTGGCTATTTTTATAATTTATTATTTTTTATTGTTAGCAGTGCTCCATTTTATGACTATACCACAATTTGTTTATCTGTTCACCTGCTGATGGATATTTGCATTGTTTTCAGTTTCAGGAGATGACAAATAAAGCTGCTGTGAAAATCTGTATGCAAGTCTTAGTATGAACATATGCTTTCATTTTGAGAGAGTAAATACCTAGGAGTAAAATAGCTGAATCTTATTAATTTTTAAAAATGTACCAAACTCATTTCCAAAGTAACTGTACCATTTTGCATTTCCACCAGAAGTGTATAAAAGTTCTGATTGTTCCACATCCTCACTGATACTTGAGCATGGCGGTATTTAAAATTTTAAATTTTAATTATTCTAGTGAGTGTGTAGTGCTATTCCTTTGTGGTTTTAATTTGTAGTTTTCATTCACCATTTATATGTCTTCATTGGTGAAATGTCTGTTCACATTTTTTTCCCCAATTGGATTGTCTTCTTAAGTTGTTAAGAGTGCTTTTCTCTACTATTCTTGGTACAAGTTCTACTCAAAATGTTGAAGAAAATTTTTTATGAAGTCCAACTTTTCCAAAAATTTTAGATGATTAATGTGCCTTGCTTTGCATTTTTGAAAATCTTCATTAAAATCAAGTTCATGAAGAGTTTACCCTATCTTTTCTTCTAGAAATTCGACAGATGTTTCTTCTACAGTTAAGCCTATGATCCATTTCCATTGGATTTTTAAAATATGGTATGTGAGAGAAGGGTTGAGGTTTTTTTCTTTTTTTTTTAACACATATTGCAAAATTATTCTAGCATCTTGACTGTAAAGGTTATGTTTTCCACACTGAATTATTTTGAGTCATTGTTGAAAAATAACTGACCAAGTATGTATGTATCTATTTCCAAACTTGTCATTTGTTCCCTTGACCTATACCTACTTTCATGCCAAAAGAACAACTTTTCCTTAATTTGATCAGTAAATACCCTTCAAGTTTCCTACTATGTTCTTTTGACACGTCTTCCTCATTCTTTAAGCACTTCCTTACTTTCTGGCACAAAAGGATAGTCTATGTATTGCCCTGTTTCAGATCAAAAATTAGCCTTTTCTCCACCAAGCTCTATTTCCTGTTTTTGGAGAGTGGTATTTAGAATCCAAGATCTCAGTGCTAGGCATGCTTATGAGTATTAGTGTGTCACTGCTCCCAGGCTTCTTAGTGGACAGAGCTAGAGTCTGTGTGTGTATGTACACACACACATATACACACATCTGATATAACTATACACGTGATACACACATTTATATTTTTATTTGTTGCTCTACATATTGAAAGCCACTATTTCATATTGATGCCACCAATTCCAATAGAAGTTTAATTCTGGTTTTCCCCTTTCTGTATTTGTTTGTTTGTTTGTTTACTTATTTATGAGAATAGAAGAGTTTATTAGTTTACTCTGCCATAGACAACAGCAGGCCACATAGACAAGAGGTACCTGTGTGAGCTCCCTTTCTGTATTCAAACTCCCTTCTGTGACAATGAGAAAGCTGGCTCTATTATCTTAAATATATTAATTATTTGATCAATATCCCTTTATATAACCAATCTTCCATCACCACTGCCTTCTTCTGTACAAATATACACCTCACTATGCTAAACCTCTCATGTCAAACTGCCCCCTATGTGGAACCCTGTTGCACATTCTTGGATTATGATGCCTTATGCTTGGCTGTTCTCAGAGAAGGATGTCTTCCTCATCCTGCTTGACTTCAGGTACCCCAAACAGAAGACTTCTCTTCAGGGGACTCCCCATCCCTCCCCTCTGGCCCCTGTGCAGAAATTTATTCTTATCAGGTACATCTAACAGCTTTAGGATTAGATTGCTTTAAAAAGAAGGAAGAAAAGAAGAAAAGGAGAAAGAAGAAGAAAAGAAAGGAGAATCAGTGGAATGGGATAAAAAGTAATTACATTTTGTCTTTAGGTGAGTAATAGTGCAAACCTACTATTTATACTACGGGAAAGAGTCTCCTCAGGACATGGGAGGCCACAGAGACATATAAATTACAGATAAATAACACATTGATCATTTGTAATATTATTTATATTGTATCTTTAAATTAAATTGAAGCTTTCCCCTAAGGACATCGAAGCACCTACAGCTGTCCTCTCAGATTCTCTCCCCCTCCCTGATGAGAAAAAATATACAATATCCTCATCACCATAATCACATTTTTAAAATTCCAAATCAAGATTCACAGCTGAGAAAATTGAGGAGAAATATGGTCTGATATTCAAGTTTAAGTGTTTTTTTCCCCTAGATCTTCAGCAAAATCCAGCCTTTCAAGATGTGTTGCTCAGTGAAGAAGAATGATTTGCTTCAACACTTGAGTCAAGGGTTGTAGAGAAGGTTAGCAGTTAGAGAGAACATAGTGGTGAAAAATTATTGATAACTGAACAAGTAGTAGGAATTTGTATACAGATGAATCCATATATTGAGTCATGAAGACGATATCCGTGGTCAGAAATGCTCTAAGAATGTTAATGTTAATGTAAAGCTCTACTCAAGTTAAATTTATTCTTCGTTATGGTGTACATGTATAAGTTCTAAAATGGTTCTAAGCTCCAGGACTGAGCACACCAAAGCAGGAAAACTTTTTGAACATGTTCAATTATGTAAGATTTTACTTTTACCATTTTAATACTCATGGTTTCATAAACACAATGAAAAGCATCATTAAATTATTTTAACAATTTCCAAAAGTCCTGGGGAGTAATTTCACCTATTTTGGCATCCTGAATACGACTTCCAGTTTGCAAACAAAGTTGTAAATTCTTGAAGCTGGAATCTACAGAACTCCCAAAGAATATCACTATGTATGTAAATTGAAGCATCAAGTGTAAATAAATACAGATATTAAATGGGAATTGTTACATTCCAATGGGCACTTCAAAACTCAAAAAACTTAATGTCCTATTTCAATGAAAATTCCCAAGCATGATGACCTTCTAAATTTCACAAAGGCAGAAAACATGGAACATAAAATTTTTCTTTAAACGTAACTTTGGGTCTGGAAAATTATAGTGTGCATAAAATTCTTAATAATAAAGGTGTGTATACTCAAGATTCAGAAGCACTACACACTTTTCATAGTGTATTAATTCATGTATTCATTCATTTATTTATTTTATAAATAATATATGTCATGTGTATACTCAAATTTCTCTCAAATTTTCAAATAAATTTATATTATATTTAATTGTAAAATCTATTTTTATACTGTCCTCTGAGAATTAAATGAGGTCAGTTTGTGGATCTGTCACAATGTAATATTAAAAATCACAGAAAGAAAAGGATTTGTAAGAAACAAAAAGCATCAGAAGAATATTATGTGATTTTAAGTCAGATGAGAGACCTGTCATCAAATTCTTTAGATTTGACCATTAAAATCCAATCATTCCAAAGCAGTCTTTTGACCCATATTAGCTCATTGTTTACTCTTCTTGACCCCCAATTTTCCTAACTTAAAAACGGAAAATAATATACTGCCAAAGGATTTTTTAAATGTTAAAGTACACAAGACATTAATTCTTCTCACCTTCTTTCTTTCTTTCTTTTTTAAAATTGAAGTTTAATGGATTTACAATGTTATATTAGTTTCAGGTGTATAATGTAGTGATTTGATATTTTATTTATTATACTCATTTTAAAATTACAAAATATTTGCTATATTCCCTGTGCTATAAATCTATCCTTATATCTTATTAATTTTATACCTAGTAGTTTATACATCTTAATTTTATACCTAGTAGTTTATACATCTTCCCCTTTCTTGCCTCTCTCCTCACCCCTCTCCCCACTGATAATCATTAGTTTGTTCTCTGTATCTGTGAGTCTGTTTCTGTTTTGTTATATTTGTATGTTTCTTTTATTTTTTACATTCCATGTATAAGTGAAAACATAGAGCATCTATCTTTCTCTGTCTCACTTGCTTTACTAAGCATTTTACCCTCCAGGCTCTACTATGTTGTGTGTGTATGTGTGTGTGTGTGTGTATGTATGTGTATTATATATATATATATATATGTATATATATATTATATATATATATTTCTCACAGCTTCTTTATCCATTCATCTGTTGATGGACACTTAGATTTCTTGCTTCCATATCTTGGCAATTTTAAATAATGCTGCTCTGAATATTGTAGTGCATATATCTTTTCAAATTGGCATTTTTATTTTCTTTAGATATATTCCCAGGAGTGGAATTGCTGGATGATATGGTAGCTCTATTTTAAATTTTTTGAGGAAACTCTATACTGTTTTCCATAGTGGCTGAAGCAATTTACATTCCCTCCAGCGATATACAAGGTTTCCCTTTCTCCACATCCCTGTCAACGCTTGTTATTTCTTGCCTTTTTTGACCATAGCCATTGTGACAGGTGTGAGGTGATATCTCATTGTAGTTTTGACTTGCATTTCCCTGATAATTAGTGATGCTGAACATCTTTTCATGTGCCTGTTGGCCATCTGTATGTCTTTGGAAAAATGTCTATTCAGGTCCTCTGCCCATTTTTTAACTGGATTTTTTATATTTTTTATATTGAGTTGTATGAGCTCTTTATATATTTTGGATATCAACCCCTTACCAGACATATCACTTGCAAATATTTTCTCTCATTCAGTTGGTTGTATTTCCATTTTGTTGATGGTGCCCTCACTGTGCAAAAGTGTCTAAGTTTGGTTAGATCCCAGTTGTTTATTTTTGCTTTTGTTTCCCTTGCTTGCTAAGACCTATGTCAAAGAGTGTATAGCCTAAGTTTTCTCCTAGGAGTTTTATAGTTTCTGGTGTTACATATAGGTATTTAATCTATTTTGAGTTTATTTTTGTTTATAATGTGAGAGAATGTTCTAATCTCATTCTCTTACCTGTAGCTGTCCAGTTTTCCCAGCACCACTTACTGAAGAGCTAACTCTCTTTTATTTACTTTTCAAAGCAACATTGAAAATGAGACATTAGGGCACCCACTTGAACGATCAAGAAACTGAGGCTCAGAGTTTAAGTGACATGCTTACGGCCAGGCAGGGGAAGAATTTGAAACCAAACTTAAAACCCCAGTGTGCGCCTTCATCTCCAGGGGTCGCCCGTTCACCTTGATGAGGCCGTTACCTCGCTTGCAGTGAGCCACGTTTGCAGTGGCCTTCTTCTTGCGCCCGAAGACCTGCACCGACTGCAGAGGGCTATTGCTTTGATCTCTCTAGCAGGTAAATTATTTAATCTCTGTTTCATTAATTTTTCCCTCTGGGATTTTATCTTGCTCTTTTTTGTTTGAAACATATTCCTCTATTTTCTCATTTTGTTTAACCTTCTCTGTTTGTCTCTATGTAATTAGGTGAAAAAGTTACCTATCCTGGTCTTGAAGGCATGTTCCTGTGTGGGACCATCCCTATCCAGTCAACATGTGCCCAGTGGCTTTGGTGGGAGAGCTGGATCTGAAGTGACACAAGCTGCTTCTTCTCCCAGGGTGTGCTGGCAGCCAGCACCTTAGTGTGAGGTAGGGCTAAAGGTGGAGGCGAGAGAGACAGAGCCAGGTGCTAGAGCTTCTCCTATGCTCAGTGGTGGCTGCCACCCTGTGGCAGGGAGGACTGGGGACCGTGGGACTAGAGCAGGAGTCCTGAGGGAGCTGGGCTTCTCCCTGGTGTGATGGCAATCCCTGCTTTGGTTGGAGACATGGCTGGGGCCCAAAGACTTCTGAGCTGGCTCCAATTTTCCCCAGTGTGTTCTCCTTGATTAGAGGTGGGGTTGAGGCCAAGGATTTGGAGTCTTCCCTGGGTGTGCAAATGCTCCAGCAATGGCAGCCACTGCTTTGGCCAGAGCTGGACAGGCTCTTCTTCTTCCCTGATGAACACACACATGTTGGAAATGGTGGCCTCTGCCTTAGCAGGGAGTGGCAGGGCAGGAGGGGCTGGAGCAGGGGCCTGGTGTGTGCTGTGGGGTGCATTGGGGCTGTCCTGGCAGGCTGGCCAGAGCACCTGGCAGTTTTCAGTCTGCTGCCTCTGTGCTGAGGCAGGTGGCAAGCAAGTCTGTGCATGTGTTCTTTAAGAGTCGCGTCTTGGTTTCTTAGAGTTCTCTGGTAAGCCCCACTGGTTTTCACATCAGCCAAAGGGGCTCATCTTGATGTTGGACCCCAGGGCTGGAGTGCCTAATGTGCGGCTCCTCAGTAGGGAGGATTCTGGAGCCTGTGAAATCTCCTTATGGGTCACCCACTAGGGTTGCAGGTCCTGACCAGATTTCTTCTCCTCCCCTCCTACCAGACTCCATGTAATTTTCTTTACAGCATTGGTTGTAGAGCTGTTTTGCTAGTCTTCAGGTCATTATCAGCAAGAGTTGCTCTGTATGTCATTGTACTTTTGATGTGTCCTTCTGGGGAGGTGAGCTCAGGGTCTTCCTACTCTGCCATCTTGATCCCACCTCCAAAAGTACAGACACTAAAGTGAAATTTCTGAATAGACTCTCAATCTGTTAGTTGCTAGCAAAGTATTTTTTTTTAAGAAATTTTATCTTTTTTTGAAGTCCTCTGTGTTACATAGACTGTAGGTAGAATTTCTAAATTAGATTCTTTTTAGTTCCAAAAGGCCAGACATACTTCTTTTGAATTTTATAATAAAATTTTTCCCCCAACATCACAGATACGTATGATTGCATACCACATATCATGTACAATGTATAAGGCACTTGGCTGGGTGTTGTGGGTGCAACTAAGGTGAACTGTTCACAGTTCCTGTCCTGTAGCCACTCATTTTAGTGTGGGAGACAGATTGATTACGAATCTCTAATAAATATCAGAAGAAGAGAAACTGTCACAATGGGGATACAATATAAGATAGAAATATGCAGGAGTGCAAGAGGGAGAGTTGTCAGTACCACTTGACTTCATGGCAGATTTGAGTTGACCCAAATGAATAAAAAAGTCTTCCAAATATATTTATCAAAAAGGACATTCTAAGCAGTGAAGACAGCTTCAGCAAAGATATGGAAACAGAAAAGTAGATGTTATTTAGAGAAACAATGATTAATCTGCTGTGTCTTGCACAAGTATTTAACATGCATTTAAATGATAGTGTAAGAGAAAATGAATAATTTTTACGAAAATTTCTAATGCCTGGCCAGGAAGTTTTGACCCTGTAAGAAAGGGACATTGTGGAATGATACTAAGTTAAGATGTATTATTTTCTTCTTTTCTTTTTTCCCTTGGTATTATAAATGAAATAATAGTAAAAATTTAAACATGTCTATTCATATGATTTTCTCCTCTTAATGTTCTTGGGTCTAATCCATCATACTGCCTTCATATTGCTTCTCTTTGCCTCAAGGAAGATTAATATTGCTACATCAGAGAATAAAACAACAAAAGAGTAAGAGAGAGAGAACACCAATAGTAAGTTTTGAATTGCAAAATTATATTTTTGTGTTCTTAGCAAGACAATAACCTTAAAATTTTAGTGTTGCTGCAATATAAAAAGAATTTCCAAATTTCTATAGCTTCCACAGGGATCTGGAGACAGCGGTCTGATTAGAACTTAGCACTTCATCCCCAGTGTGAAATAGATTCCATTTTGAGGCTAAGCTCTCTGGGAAAAAGCAAGATGTGATGAAAAGGAGAAGAATCCATCAAACTATGGAAAGAGGAGACAAAACCTGACCCGAAGAGAAAAGAACAGCTATTGTATTGAGAGACACTTTCTTGAAAACATCATGGCCTTGGGCTTCCTTCTCTGCTATCTGTGTCTCACTAAGAAAGCTCATTTATACCCAGACAGAATGTCTCCAACACGCATGGAGGATGAGAGAGTATCTGAAAGACTTACTGGAGAAAGAATCAACCAGAAGAGACAGTTTAATGGGGGAAGAGATGAAATACTACAGTCTAGGAATTTTAAAGAGTTGTTTGGTTCTCTCTTTTACTACTCAAAGAGATGAGGATTCCAAAGGAAAACCACAACAGTTATGGAAAATAAAACTACATTTGCTTTGAATATCCGAATGTTGTGCTGTTTTTCTATTTTCTACTCAATGTGCTTCATCCATTTATGTAATTATTTATTTCTTTTCTTTAAACCACACCAATCATATAATAAAAGACTAAAAATATCCCCTGCTGGTTTATCAAGCCTTATAGCATCTTGGTTCTCTCCCTTGCTGACTGGATTGCAGGTCAGAGGAAGTGACTCATCATGGCCTAAGATGAAGAGTGTTCGGTGAGTCTCACATACCCCATGAGGAAGGCAGCAGAGAAGCTGATGGAAAGGGAGGAGAGTAAAGAAGACTGGAAGTACCATGTCTGGTAGAAAGAAGAGTGATGATTCAATTACTCTGAGGTCTAGCTTATACTGACCTAGTGGTCATCCCTCCAAGTCAGGTACCAGCACTTTGGTGCACAGAAGACTATATTAAACTTATTGACTATTTCTTGAATTACTTTTTCATTCATTCACTTTTGCAAAATAAATGTATAGGCTCTTTTCCTCCCCTCCCTGTTACCATTAATCCTTTAATCCCTAAATTAGTTGCCATGCATCCGTTTGGGAATTAGATTTGGCAATATTAACAGATATTAATAGAAGGACCATCTCGTTTCCAATTACTGTAAAAGATAAAGAAATGTTAATTTGACAGATGTGTAAGACTGTCTTGTTAAACAGAACACACGTGCAATAAAATGAAAAATGTATATCTGAGGATGGAAAGCAGATCAGTGGTTGCCAGAGAGGAAGAAGGGGTGGCACCAAATGGAATTTATGGAAATGGTAGAAACATTTTCTACCTTTCTTGTAATGGTGTATCCACTTGTCAAAACTCATTGAACTGTACACTTAAAAGTACCCTCAATATATGTAAGTTATACTTCAATAAAGTTAGTTTAAAAAAATAGAAACAGAGTAATTTTGTCATGCAGTTAAGGAAGAATGCTTACCTAGGTTTGAATTCCTACTGGGCCCCTTACAAGCTGAGTGATCCTGGGCAAGTGATGACCTCTCTGGACCTCAGTCTCTTTATCAAGTGGGGTTAACAGTAATGTCTATCCCCTAGCGTCTGTATTAAGAAAATGTGGTAATGTACGTAAAGTACAATGTATATAAAATAGAATTTACATTGTATCTAAAAGACGCCTTTGAATGCATATCTTAATCTATAACTGCATAGCCAAATTAGAGCTAATGAGAAAAATTCTACTGATAGACTTGAATAATGTAATCCCAATTTTAAGAGACAGTTCTTTGATACAACACCTAAAATAAATGTGTATGTTAGTATTCCAGATTTTTTTCCTAATATGAAAGTATTCTTTCACTGTATTTTATTATTTCAGGAGAAAATATCATATACAGCTCTTCTCACAGAAACTTTGAAGGGAAAAGTTTTTAATGTGATCTTAGTAAGGAGTTTTACTACAGTGTGCTAATAATGATCATATAATTTTCTTTCATTGCCAGAGCTCTAAAGCACACTACACCAACAATGAAAACTATGAACTTTTATTAGCTTATGCTACTAGAAATTACTTCCTTTAAAAGTAAAAGATCCCCATTTCTTCTTTGGTTCCGTAACCACCTTTGGAATGTTCTGCTGAATTCTTTTAAAGCAGCCTAATTTATGGCTCAAGGAATCATGGTGACTTCAGTATGAAGTTAATTCACTTAAATACAGACTAGCTTCTGATTCTCTTTGAGATTTACACTGTATCCAAAGAAGGTATAAAGTCAATTCACTTCCTCAGAATAAAATGATAAGAGTTACTGCTCTTGGCCTCTCTATGACTGCTCCAGTTAACAAATGTGTTGGCCTTTTAAAACAATGACTAAAAAGCTCACCATCTGAAAGCTTGGAAAGGAATGAGTTTACCACAAAATATTTAAATGGGATTTCACCAGAAGCTGAGGAAAACCAGAGAAAAATTAACTCTCTTATCTCTTATTTATTTCTTGCTTCTCACTTACACTTGCTTTTGAAAAGAACTGGAGGCACACAGCCTCATGCATTGTAGATAGTTTGAAAGTTTTGGACAGAAAAAGAGAGATGGAATTAAGGTGGGTTTGTTTAATTATTTTATTATATGCTACGTATCTTAGAGTTGATAAGAAACTCACTTTTGCTGCATTGTAGTGAAGGGTGAGCTGTAATTCAGAACACATTCAATTACCATTCTGTACCACAGCATCAAGGCTTCCCTGCAGGCCATTAATTT